CTTGCATGCCCTCCCTGCATGAACTCCCTGCACGCTTCTTTTGCACACTTCCCTTGCATGCTCTCATTGCACACTCTCCCTGCGCACACGCCCTGCACGCTTTCCTTGCACGCTCTCCCTGCATGCTCTCCCTGCACGCTCTCCTTGCACGCACTCCTTGCATGCTTTCCTTGCACGCTCTCCCTGCATGCACTCCCTGAATGTGCTCCCTGCACGACCTCCTTGCAAACTCTCCCTGCACGCACTCCCTGCACACTCTCCCTGCACGCCCTCCTTGCATGCACTCCTTGCACGCTCTCCCTGCACACTTCCCTTGCACGCCCTCCCCGCACGCCCTCCCCGCACGCACTCCCTGTGTGCTACATCCCGGCGCTCGGCCTTCTGCGGACGGACGGACGGACAGACAGAGGTGCGACGGCCGCGGTGGGAGCGCAGCCCTGTGTTCAGCCGTCGGCTCAGCCCGGCCCCTCCTGCTTCCCTCCCCAGAATCATCCAGCAGATCTTCGCGGGGTTCTTCGCCAACTCGGCCATTCCCGGCTCACAGCACCCGTTCTCATGGTGAGTTCTGGGCCTGCCTTCAGCACGGCCTCTGCTGGGGGGCACCACTCCGCTCCAGTACGCACCAGTATGCACCAGTATGCACCAGTATGCAGCAGTGTGCACCAGTACGCACCAGTGAACACAACAGTCAACAGCAGTTGCCCGCAGGGCCATGCAGGGCTGTTGCTTGAGCACACTGCATCCACGCTGCATCTACACTGCAACCGTGCTGTGTCCACGCTGCATCACACTGCAACCATGCTGCATCTACACTGCAACCATGCTGCGTCCACGCTGCATCACACTGCATCACACTGCAACCATGCTGCATCCACGCTGCATCACACTGCAACCACGCTGCACCCACGCTGCATCCACGCTGCAACCATGCTGCATCCACGCTGCATCTACACTGCAACCATGCCACATCCACGCTGCATCACACTGCACCCACGCTGCACCCACGCTGCATCACACTGCAACCACGCTGCACCCACGCTGCATCCACGCTGCAACCATGCTGCATCCACGCTGCATCTACACTGCAACCATGCCACATCCACGCTGCATCACACTGCAACCATGCTGCGTCCACACTGCAACCATGCTGCATCCACCCTGCATCACACTGCAGCCATGCTGCGCCCACACTGCATCTACACTGCAACCACGCTGCATCCACACTGCATCACACTGCAACCATGCTGCGTCCATGCTGCATCCACACTGCATCCACACTGCACCCACACTGCATCACATTGCATCCAAGCCACATCCATGCTGCATGCACGCCACATCCACACTGCATCACACTGCATCTATGTCACATCCACGCTGCTTCCACACAGCATCACGCTGCGTCCACGCTGCATCCATGCAGCATCATGCTGCATCCACGCCGCATACACACCACATCATGCTGCATCCAGCCTGCATCCAAACAGCATCCACCCCACATCCATACTGCAGCCACACATCGTGCCGCATCCACGCTGCATCACGCTGCATCCGTGCCATATCCACGCTGCATCCACGCCACGTCCACAGCGCATCCACGCTGCATCACGCTGCATCCGTGCCATATCCACGCTGCATCCACGCCACATCCACGCTGCATCCACACTGCATCATATTGCATCCACACCGCATCCACGCTGCATCCACGCCGCATCCACACATCATGCTGCATCCATGCCGCATCACACTGCATCCACGCTGCATCCACAGCATTCACACCGCATCCACGCTGCATCCACGCCGCATCCACACCGCATCCACACAGCATCATCTGCATCCACGCCACATCCACGCTGCATCCATGCTGCATCCACACTGCATCACACTGCGTCCACACAGCATCACGGTGCGTCCACACTGCATCCATGCAGCATCATGCTGCATCCACGCCGCATACACACCACATCATGCTGTATCCATGCTGCATCACGCTGCATCCACACAGCATCCACACAGCGTCATGCTGCATCCACACCACATCCACGCCGTGTCCACGCTGCATCCACACTGCATCCACACTGCATCCATACTGCATCCACGCATGCTGCATCCATGCGGCATCATGCTGCATCCACGCTGCTTCATGCTGCTTCCACGCTGCATCCACGCAGCATCATGCAGCATCCACGCTGCATCCACACCACATCATGCTGCATCCACGCTGCATACACACCACACATCATGCTGCGTCCACGCCACATCCACACTGCACCCACACAGCATCATGCTGCATCCACGCTGCATCCACACAGCATTATGCTGCATCCACACTGCATCCACGCAGCATCATGCTGCATCCACACCGCATCATGCTGTGTCCACGCTGCATCCACACCACATCATGCTGCATCCACGCTGCATCACGCTACATCCACGCCACATCCACGCCACATCCACGCTGCATCCACGCCGCATCCACGCCACATCCACGCTGCATCCACGCCGCATCCACGCTGCATCCACACTGCATCCATGCTGCATCCACACAGCATCCACACTGCATCATGCTGCATCCACGCTGCATCACACTGCACCCACACAGCATCACACTGAATCACGCTGCATCACGCTGCATCACGCTGCATCCACGCTGCATCACGCTGCATCACGCTGCGTCCACAGGAGCGGGATGCTGCATTCCAACCCCGGGGATTACGCGTGGGGACAGAGCGGCCTCGACGCCATCGTCACGCAGGTGAGCGCCGCCCTCCCTGCTGCAGAGCCGACACCTGCAGTGCTGTCCGTGTGTCCGTGTGTCCGTGTGTCCGTGTGTCCGTGTGTCTGTGTGTCTGTGTGCCCTGGGCCGTCCACAAACAGCTCCACAAACGGCCCCACAAACCACCCCACAAATCACCCCACAAATGGCCCCACAGATGGCCCCACAAACAGCCCCACAAACCACCCCACAGACAGCCCCACAGACGGCCCCACAAATGGCCCCACAAATGGCCCCACAAACGGCCCCACAAACAGCCCCACAAACGGCCCCACAAACAGCCCCACAGACAGCCCCACAGACAGCCCCACAAATGGCCCCACAAACGGCCCCACAAACGGCCCCACAAACGGTCCTTCCGGGAGCTGCAGCACTGGGAGGGACAGGGCAGGGATGGGGAAGAACCACAGATCCCGGTTTGGGGGCAGGGACCCACAGATCCCAGTTTGGAGAGGGGGACCCACAAATCCCATTTGGGGATGGGGACCCAGAGATCCCAGTTTGGGGATCAAGATCCACAGATCCCAGTTTGGGGATGGGGACCCATAGATCCCAGCTGGGAGATGGGGACCCACAGATCCCAGTTTGGGGATGGAGATCCACAGATCCCATTTGGGGATGGGGACCCATAGATCCCATTTGGGGATGGGGACCCACAGATCCCAGTTTGGGGATGGGGACCCATAGATCCCAACTGGGAGATGGGGACCCATGGATCCCAGCTGGGAGATGGGGACCCACAGATCCTAGTTCAGGGATGGAGATCCACAGATCCCAGCTGGGGACCCACAGATCCCATTTGGGGATGGGGACCCAGAGATCCCAGTTTGAGGATAGGGGCCCATAGATCCTAATCTGGTGGTAGGGACCTGTAGATCCCAGCCCATCCCACTCAGTTGGGAAATGAAGACCCACAGATCCCATCCAGGTTGGGAGATGAGAACCTATAGATTGCAGTTTGGAGATGAGAACCCATAGATCCCAGTTGGGAGATGAGGACCCATGGATCTCAGCCCATCTGAGTGGGAGATGGGGCCCCATAAATCAGATCCCATCCATTACAGCTGGGAGATGGGCCCCCCAGCCCCCACTTCGCAGTGAGGAGCTGTTGCTGTGGGTCGGTGCTGGGATGCAGCCCCTGCCCCATTGTGGCTGCCGGGCTGTGCCCCACACCTCACCCTGTGCCCCACACCATTCTGTGCCCCACACCTCACCCTGTGCCCCACACCATTCTGTGCCCCACAAATCGTCCTGTGCCCCATGCCTCACCCTGTGCCCACACCTCACCCTGTGCCCCACACGTCGTCCTGTGCCCCACACCTTGTCCTGTGCCCCACATCGTTCTGTGCCCCATGCCTCGCCCTGTGCCCCACACCTCACCGTGCCCCACGCCTCACC